ATGAAGTAGGCATTCAATCAATAGTACATTTTTATTGTGACAGGTAATTACGTTCGGCGAATTGAATTGCGTGTTTCGTGTGCTAGCGGATGGTTAAAAATGAAGGAAGGAAGGTAGGTAGTAAGGGTCGGTCCTTCTTCATCTTCCTCTTTCGCATTTCTTCCAAACTTCTGATATTTCCATGCAGAACGAATCGAGCGTTTCCTTCCCTCGGAAACACAAACTAACGTACTTGTCGCAACTTTATTGAATTACAGGTTCTCGTATGAAGTAAAAGATAAAGCGTATGCCATCGCAAACACTCGCGGTGACTCACAATTTCTCGTTTAGAATTTCAATACGAAATATTAGTATCAAATGGAAACACAGCGTGAATACCAAAAAGAGAGCTCGTGCAGAATTCAATAACCGCCTCTCTCACTCCGACTTCAACATTCACCATTAAATAGAAGCGTTCACTTCGAACTGAAACCGTTTGTTTACTCACTTTCATACAATTCATTAACGTAACGCAAAATCCATGCCGCTAATAACATTTAATCAACGAGAGAGATAGAGAGATGCAAAAAAAACAAAAACGTAAAGCAAAATCGTGAATTTATTATTACTTTTTTATTGTTTTCCATCGACGTTGGAAGCTTTGTGGTGATTATTTTTTCGGGCCCAATAAATATTTGCATTCCATTAACGGAAAAGCGAAACAAATTGGTAAACAGTCCGACCGCAAAAATCCCATGTGTTTGGGATTTATTAACGGATGAAACTACGAGAGTAATTTCGGTTTTGCGCTAACAAAAAAAAAATATATTGTTTATTTTTTTTTCGGACGAATTGTATGTACATACATAAAACAATGTTTTCCGTGGTTCGAGGTACGATCTTATGGGCCTTTGAAGAAGTTAAGAGTTAAAGTATTTAGAAGTTTGCGCTTTGCGAGATTTGCATAGTCCCCTCGCAAAATTACGTTTTCTCATCAAGAAGAGAGAAAAAAAAAAAAATTCCCCCTTCAATGCAAACTATTCCATGAATTAATTATATCTCGCGACATTAAAGTTGCATCAAGAAATCCGCGCTTGAAAACAAAACGAAGGCGCCTATTGGATAATAAGTAACGCTAAAGATTATATTTACATTGGAATTAGCTTACATAATGTTTTCGTCTTTGTGTCGTTTTTTAACACCATCTGAAAATACTCAACTGGATACTAATTTCGTATATAAACACGATGATTAAAAACAGCGATTAACTTGAGAGGATGATGTTCTGTGCATCGATTTTATCAGGTATAATATTGCCAGTTTGCGAGATCCGGAATTTGTGTTGAGATAGTTGTAAGCATGTCGCATGTTTAAGGATGACGATGCTATCGAGAGAACGAGAAAGAAGGACGTTTCATAATATTCAAGTAATCTCTGGATCAGTCCGAAAGCTCGGGACGTATGGTATGCGAAATTGGTATTACGGATTTAGGAGCCTCGATGTTTGTTCAATATTGTCGAGAACTTGCATCATCGGGCGCTGAAATTCCTGCTGATACTCGTAGCAACAGAGACGTGAAATTCTATGCATTCGGTATTTTCAATCAATACAACTTTTGGAATAACAAAAGCTTTCGTTTCAATTCCCAAAGATCAGTTATGAGCGACAACTTGTTATGAAAAACAAATACCAACACTAGTCAGATAATATCTTAATAAGATGTTATTTATACCGAAAATTTAATTTATATTTGTGATATAAATGATAATAAAGAATACTAACTTGAAACTAGTAACAAATTTCTAAATTTTATTAACTATATTATTTCATGGTCAAAAATAGTTTCGATCGACATATTTCTACAAAAATAATTAATAATATTAGTCAGAAGATTGGTAAAAGAAATAATTTCTTAATATTTTAATTGGATATTTGTGAATGAACACAACAAATACAAATACTGTTTACTGTGCGGTAAGCAATATGAAAAGACATAAAACACCGAATATTAATTACTAAATTAGTTTACTTAGTACACTTTTTTTTAATTACTAAAATTTTATTTTTTAAATTAAATATGTAAAAAAACAAAGAAATATTATACTATTAGTAAATAATTTTTAAAAGGCAAAGGATCATAAAAACTTCCTGAAGTAGTTCAAGTCCAGTTTGAAGAAATAACTGATTATTACAAGTTTAATGTCTAACTGTAAAATTATAACTAAAAGTACAAAATTTCAAAGTACTATAAACAGAAGATGAAAGATAATATCACCCTACATCATCAATGATTACCAATAACAAAGCAGTTAAAACGATAGCAAAGCAACGCAATGTTAAGTAATCGTGAAAATAAAAACTTGTACAATCATTATCAAGGTATTCGAGTGCCGGAAACGTTTATTTGGATGTTAAAACTTGTAAAACGCTTTTATGGAGCTTCAAATTCTAATTCCAGCTGCCGCCGCCTATCAATTGAAAACTTCATCCAATTCGAGCTCTTTTTACCTTTTCTTTTATAGGCAGTAAATTTACATCCCGATTTCGATCGTTAATTAATCCGGTGAGAGTATTAATATTCTCTCCATAAAGATATTACGGTTTCATTATATACTTCGAGTAAACAATCATTATTAGTTTTTTATTTTTCTTTATTTTTTATTGTTTCGCTTTAGAAGCTTTACACGGTGCAATCGACAGCAGATATTTTAATTGGCACGAACGACGCATAACCGTTTTAAGCGTAGCAATTAAATACTACGAGTTGTTGATAATTGCACACAACCAACGCATTTCTTAAATTAAAAACATTATTATAGTGTAATATTTCAACATGAATCAAACGATCAACGCATTTTTTTATTATAAATACAATTTTAATGTAGTATTTCCACATTCCATCATACTTAGTTTATCAAAATTATATAAATAATATATTTTTATGTCAATATTAATATTTGTTAATTCATACAAATTACTCGTAAAATTAAAAAAAAAATAACAATTGTATTGTTTTATTCTATTTGTCTTTATATACAGAAATAATCATCAGTTTATTAACATAAATAATTTATGAGGTTTATTTGACTTTAGTGTAAAAGTAATAATAGTTTTTCACAATTTACTACCATACATAAAATGGAAAACGTAACCAATTTGAATATTTCTCTTTGACATTTTGATATTTGGGTTCAAAATGTTCGCATTATAAATGGCATATTCAAAACTGTTTGACATTTCACCTGTAATTATGAAAAAAAAGATTAAAATGTTGCATCGTGACATTTGCAAACATTTAATACTAGATATTGTCACTAATTGGAAATAATAATAATATTAGTATTTATTTTAAGCAAGTAATGGTTATATTACTCAATCAAATGATTAATTTCGTCATACAAGGTTTTCCTTTAACGATTTACCTAATTACATTGAAAAAATTTAATGAAAATGAAAATTGTTTTATTTATAAAATAATAAAAAAAAAATATACTGCATGCATTGTATAGCAAAATTGGTCTTTAAGAATTCAATATGAATACATATGGAAAATTATTGTAATATCGGTGAGAACGAAAACATTTTTTTTTCGCCATCCTCTATACTTCGACATCGGCATATAAAGAGGGTGATTTTTTTCGAAGCACCTGCTTCTACACACATATACAAAAAGGAGAGCGGAGGATTATAATTGCTTCTTCTCGGAAGCATTTACCTGCTTCAATTCCATTGTCGATATACAACAAGCAAAGAGCATCTGGTTCACGAAGTTCGGAAGATGAAATATTACCTTTTTCTTCGCAGTAAATGATTTTTACACTCTGCAAGTGTGAAAATGAGTTATACGGAGTCTTCAAATTTATCGCCATACCTCATTACCAAATTGATAACTCCAATTTAGAGTTTTCAGGTAAAATTAAAAGTTTAATATAACTTAAAAATCGTACAGTGATGTTAATCAAACAAAGTTTCATTAATTAGTAAGATTTTTTATTAATTATTTAATATTGAGATGAATACCAAACTCTGAATGCAAATAGTATTGAAAGTAGTTTAAATAATTTAAATTGTAATTCAAAATTTTTAGGTAAGAAAATGAAAAAGAAGAATAACAGAGTTTTCATTAATTAGTATGATTTTTAGTAATTAGAAGATATTGGATGTGGTTTAAATAATTTGAAAGGTATGCAAATTTTCAGTATAATGTAAATCAGGTTTCGCTATAGCGAATGTAAATACGTCAACCCGAAGGTGCAAAAATCATTGGAGACAAAAGTGATGAAAATAAATAAAACAGCAAATCAAATGGAAATTTGGGGATAAGTAAACTCGCCGATTGGTAATTGGAATAATTTCAATCAGTCCAGCCCATTTGGTTTGCGGGTTGGAAGCGTCCAATCAGTAATTTTGTTATTGCAAAACCGATTTGCATAAATCCAATCGTCGCCGAATTTGCATTCCGGTTTACGGCGACGGAGGATGAGATGGAAGAGGACGTGGTTGAGGTGAGAGGAGAGGAGGACACCCCTCGGATCTTCACTCGAAAGGTTGAATCCGCCACCTAATATAATTGAACAACCGAGGTTCGGTGTAATCCGCATTGTGCATTCTACTGCTGCTTATGCAAACCGGATTGCGTAAGACCAGAAGTCCCGCAAGATGAGGTTTTAAATGCGTGTGCACTTTTTTTTATTTTCAAGTTTCGGTAAACAAAATCTTAGACAATTTAATTAAGAGCCATCTGGTCCGAGGACGAAGTGTTGTTGCATTCCCACCTACAACTGAGCTACTACTAGGTGTTACTTCATTCACATAAATAAACTGTTCGGAAGAGATGCGTGATCCGTGTGGGAGAGGCCGATGATTGTGATTTAATTATATCTTGCGCGTTTCGGAGATGCATCTTCTCATGATGCAGTCTACAGAACTACTAACAGACTGTTACAGAGTGATACACATGTAATCATCGATGTGGGGCAACAAAAATGATCGAGAAGTATTTAAAAGAAATCAGGCTCACCTTGGTGGATTGAAAAATCCCTCCGCATAGAGCGACCGCACAAACAAATGCCGCGTACCGCAACATCTTCACGAGATTCCTCCGAAAAGTGGTATCAGTTCTTCACGTCCTCCTCTCGTCTGCAAACGTGTGTCGTGTATATGCCTCTCTTTGAGTGAGTGTGTGTCTGTCTGTTTTCTGCTGAGTTCTGGTTCTGTACGCCAAGAGGGAATTATTGTACCGAAACGGCGAGCGAAGAGCACTGCACTTAGAACTTTATCCGTAATGGGTGTAGATCTGGACTGAGACTGGCTCCACCTAGTGGCCCTCCGTTTAGCATTGCGCACGCTCCATCCGACCTGTACCAAGAGTTATTCTTCCATCTCTTCCTGCCGCATTACACAACCGGCGCCGCGCCGCCCCCGCCGCTCCCCGCTCAGCCTGTTGGCCGCCCGCTCGCCGCCACCGCCGATCCGCTGCCGCCGCCCCCCGCTCGACGCCACGGACCGCCCCCACCAACGCCACCCAAGACGCGGACGTATCAATAAACCGATAATTAATAAACTGATCGGGAATCCAACCCACGCACGGAGCTTCCTCTTCAACACTACGAACAGAAAAAGGCCGACCTCCAAAATCCCTTTCTGAACGAATTCCAAATGCATTAGAAACTCTCCGTTAATTAAAACCCGTCCAATTCCTTTACGCCACCTTCGAAAACCCCAATTTACCTTAGAAAAGAACAAGTAAAACTAAGAGCACCTCTCGGTCTTCATAAACTATGTCAACGAGCTCAGAAATAAACAAACTAGCGCCAGTTCTTTCTTTGTTAGAGTACTAACCATACCCACTATTGCCTCGAACGATCATTTCTATTTGTATTCAGCATAAATGTTTAAATTTAAATGTACGTGCTAACCATCTATGACAATATTTATAATCAAATTGATCAACAAACTTGGCACCATCGTAGCTTCCAAATAATATCGTAAAAATACTATTTAATTCCTCTTTTAATTCATATTCCCTAGTATTATTCAAGAATATAAAAAAATAGATATTTACAAACAGAATCAGTTTGAAACTCAATTTCAATTTTTTATCAAATTTGTAAGGGTCCCACTAATAAAAACTCCAGCTGACCCTGTCTACATTTATTTAATAAGAAAATAAATGGAAATTGAATGATCCAAAACATTTATATAAGACATTGGATCAATCCTATTGATGCTAAGAAAACATTATTACCCTAAAAACATTATTTAATTAATTATTTCCTTTTCTAAATACAAATTATTCGATAAAGCAGTGTCTACTACATTTACTGAGAAAATAGATTAAAGTTAAACGATCGAAAACATTTATATAAGACATTGGAACAATGTTAATTAACAAAGGTGTGCCAAAAAACAACGTAAAAGAAAACACTGTAACATAAATATGCAAGAGATAGGCATTACGTAACGTCGCAAAAACGTAATTACGTAACGTCACTAGTACACATTGTTGGTATTATAAATATACAAAACAAAAAATCGAGCAGGTGCACAACTGCAATTTGTTTGTACTTCAATTATTATCGAATTTACGGATTTTATATAAAATTTTGATATATACGAAATAACTCATATTTCCGATTGACTAATCATTATTAAAAAAAACAATCTATTTGAATTAAAACATCCAATTTTAGACAACACACTACATATCGATGTAATGACAATAATATTTATAAGAAAAAGAAGTATATACAAATGATTATTGATTGAGACCTTTATAGCCTATAATTATCATATATTTTTGGTACTACATTTGGGCAACTTCAAAATATCATTTTTTTAGTGAAATCATTTTAAAAAATAGTAAATTATAGATTCTTACACACCAAATATATTCATCAAACTTTAAGGTCAAATGTCACATGAATCAAACATAAAAAAAACTTATTTTTTCCTTTAACGTTGACGTTATTTTATATTAAGAACATGATACAAGACAACAATACAAGACAAAAAAAGGCAAGCAAACAATGGATCATAACAGAAAGCACAAAGTCATAAACAAGATTTTATTAATGCAACTAATAAATAATATGTGTTAACTATAAACATGACAACTGCATTCAAAGAGAATGATATAAAAATAGTAATTGCAAAAGTATTTCATCCTATTGTATGCAATTACATCACTTATATTCAAGTAATTTGCAATTTAAAGACAGCAATTGTAAAATAATAGTAGTTATGAACCTGCTTTAACTAACAAAATATTAGATAATTATAGTTTGATCATATTTACAAAAAAATATTTTTTACAATATTTTTCAATAAATCAAAGTATTATCATGTGTATTATGTATGTGTATTATTATTCTTGTGTCAATTTTATATTTATTGAGAAGTAATTATACAAAATGCAAAGAAAATGATTAATTTCTTTGTTTTATACACATTCTTATACTGTTGATGGTAATAGAACAATAGCAGAAATATAAAAATACAGATAGTTGAGTCGCACTGGCTCGATACAGCCCTTAGCTAAAGTAATTTCATTTTATAGTGTTGATTCTTTGCTCACTGTCTTCTCCCATTTATGAATACTATTTTATTTTGTGCAATTCTACTACTACCACTACTATTACAAAATCTGAATAATCCCAATTGCAAATTGCGGCATTATTTTAAAAGCAAATAATTCGTTGGTTTAGGATTTGTTATTTATTTATCATTATCATACATTATTCAATCGGTGCAAAATTATGTGATAAATATAAATTACACATGCATATTTAACATAATTATATAAATAAATTGAAGACGAAAACAAATAACAAATTGTTGATAAAAAAAAATATATTACATATTTTAATATGAGTTAAAATTTGTGCTGTGAGAGGAAAGATAAATTTATGTTTCTGTAATGCGTAAATTACTTGGATTCTCACTTCGCAAGCAAATTTAGCATGTAGCACCTAAAATATCTTCATAATTTCGAGTTAAATAGATGATGCAGTGAAGGTAATTGGGACGTAATTTAACAAACTCCGCGAAGTGCACATGTTTAATCGTTAAATCGCATGTGCGCAGCTTGGATGGAAGCTCAATTTACACTTAATTAAAAAAATAGAAGAATGCAAAGGATGCATCCGAAGGAAAATCTCTATTATCGTTCGAAAATAAGTTCTTAATCTGTAAGATTAAGTATAATCCGGTACGGACTTATAGCAGTAAGCTGCGAAACGCCGCAAGTAATTCCAACATTCAAATTAGTTCATACTCGACAAACACATCTCAAATTCAGAAACGAAAATTATAATTATTTATAGTTATATAATTTATATTACTTATGAGTTCTTGTGATATCTGTCAGTTTAGTTTGAACGAATTTAACACTTATTTGTTTAAGAAAACGTTTCAATTTTGTTTGTCTCAAATTCAAGTACTTATCCGATACACGCAATGCTTAATTTTCATGAGGTGTCCATCATACATTTTTCAATGAATTTATTCATAAAATATCCTTATTATGTACACTTATAGTCAAGAGGTACTTGCCTAAGAAATACATCTTAATTATAGTTGTCTCATCAACCATTCATGTATTATTCGAAATACGCAGTGCTTAACTTACATGAGGTGTCAAACATACATTTTTCAATAAATTTATTCATAAAATATCCTTATTATGTACACTTATAGTGAAGAGGTTGCCTAAGAAATACATCTTAAATATAGTTGTCTCATCAACCATTCATGTATTATTCGAAATACGCAGTGCTTAACTTTCATGAGGTGTCAAACATACATTTTTCAATGAATTTATTCATAAAATATCCTTATTATGTACTCTTACAGTCAAAAGCCACTTGCCTAAGAAATACATCTTAATTACAGTTGTCTCATCACCCCTTCATGTATTATTCGAAAAACGCATTGATTAACTTTTATGAATTGTCAGACATACATTTTCAATGAATTTGTTCATTATGTACACTTATAGTCAAAAGTTACTTGCCTAAGAAATACATCTTAATTACAGTTGTTTCATCACCCATTCATGTATTATTCGAAATACGCAGTGCTTAACTTTCGGCAGATCACGGAAGTTAAACATCAATTTTTCATAAAATATGCTTCTTGGATAAATTTATTATCAATACTTATCATCCATTCATGTACTATCTGAAACACGCAATGCTCAACATTCGTGAGCTGTCCAATTTTTCAATCAAATAAATAAAATATGTTTATTGTGAAATTTATAGACAAGTGTTATATGTCGAAGAAAACCTCCTCAATTCTATTTGTTTGAAGTTATAACCAATCCACTTTTTAATCGAAATACTCGTTGCTTAACTTTTAAAGCTAATATATAAATGCAATTAATTTCTAAAATATGTATTATAAGCAAATCTATGCTCTATATCTAAATGAGGTACTGTCTCTAGTATTAATTTACATAATTATTTACTTCTTATTTATTAACAATATTACTTTAACAAAAAACAAAAACTTGTTGATATAAATGGTTCATCTTTAAATGTACGTTTTAAATCATTGAAGCACTAACCTTTCAAATTCACCGTGTTTCCATTGACTTATTAACTTCACATTTATTCAGCTTTCAATACTCGATGACTGTAGGAAACACCTGCAATAGTGTTATAACAATGAAAATATGAACCTCCTGAATTGTAAGAAAATATTCTTTTTCTCTTTTTCCAATAAAGATGTTTGAAACTTGCCTCTGGATTTCCAATAATATTCGAGCGAACTTTCCGCACATTCCCAATATCTGAACACTTCCAATTTTTTTTCCCTAGCTACTTCTTAAAATATATAAGACTGTAATATCTTTCGGTGAAATCTCTCCTTTAAAACTGGACAGTTTTTTTCTACTTAAATCGAACGTAAAACTATTTTGACATCGACAATGACGTTTTTGATTTATTTGTTAATATGTATATAAAATATGAAAGTCACTGTTGCTAGGTTATTGACCTATGTACCTATGATTTGGTACAATTTTATTCCAATTATATTTTTTTTACATATAAAGAAAATATCAAAGTCATCTTACAGTGTATATACAAGTTTGTAGGTTGTATATCATCATATATTACGTAATATAGATCAATTTATTGATTGACAAACGAAAAACGCAAATTTATTTTAAAGAATATTATAAAAAGGATATAAAAAATAATCAAAATCTTACATCTTTTAAATTACAGTAAAAATCAGAACTTAATAAATGTTTTTTTTATACCTAATTGATTTAGGTAAGATTACAACATTGAATTTTCAAACTACATTATTATGAATTATGATG